AGCTCGATCTCGTAGTTCTTCGCCTAAAACAGTCCGAGCAGCCGCAATTACAAACGGAGGTAGGAGGTCCTATTCCTAATAAGGATGAATACCGCAAGCGACGTCAATTCCGACAAGATTTCCGTATTCGGCGCTCTAAGGTCCTAAACGCACTTAACTAGCTTAAAGCTAATAATCGATACTATCGTAAGATCGATATTAATTAAGCAGCACTATCTTAGTTGCCTAAAGACGACACTATTAAGGCCTAGCTAGAATCTGCAGAGTACGTAGAGACTGTATTATACGCCTACGACGGCTATGTGCTACCTCGGCCTGCTCCGAAGTACTTTATATATTAGGGCTGCTATTATCCGCGGCCTAATAAGGCACGTAGCAAGACGGAGTGCTACTACTGTAAAATAGGCACTCTAGACGCCAATTAGGGTCGTAAGTAGCGATACTGTATTGTTAGCGACTATATTAGTACTCGCGACTAGTTCTCCTATATTAGGGGACAGTACGGCCTAGAATTGGTTCCAATTTAGCAGTTTAATTATAGTAGCATTTGCGCTCGCGACAATTACATAGATTATGTCTATACTTAACTAGCTCTACTAGCTCGCATCCGCATACTAGAAATTGCTTAGCGTATCGACTAGGGTCCTATATAGGGTGCAGGTATGCCGGATATAGACGAGGATCTTAGACACGAGTATACCGCTATACCTAACCTCTATCCTAAACACTATGCTATAGAACAGCTACGAGATCGCCTTCGACATCGATATAATAAAGCGGCTAGGCGAGTAGGTCCGTAGCAACCTCTATAGTTGTTATATATTACTTAGCCTAATTATTCTAAGATCCCTATTAATAAGCTTGATCGCTTATATCCCCTTATAGCTATAGCTTTTCTAGTATTGCTTCCCTAGGGTAAGGGTAATCCTAACTAGCCGCGACCTCGCACTATATCCTATAGTAATACTATCGATTACTATATACGGTACTACGATAACCGCTTCGCTAGTTATAAGCGGTAGCCGTACTTCGTCTTTAACAAGAGTATGCGCTATTAGGTACTTAATGCTGCTGCCTTCTTTGCTAACCGTTTCTAGAAAGATAGTACAGAAGTTATAGTAGACACACTCGAGGCTGCCTTAGCTATAGATCTAAACGACAAGGAGGCTTAGAAGCTAGTAAACTCGATTGTTAAGGTTAGTAGACAGATCCGTAGTACTCGTCCGTATTAGAACGGTCGTCGTATTAACCTAGAGGTATACGTACGCGCTCTTAGTAAGCCTTAGTTGTTTTGCACTATTAGCGCTGCTAATCTTTAGTAGGATTCCCTTATATAACTAATGCCTAGATACAATCAATAGAAGCAGCTTAGACTAATTAAGCGTATAAAGATAGCACGCGAGAATCTTCGGAAGTATCTACACATTGCGAATGTATACATCGTCCGCCGTTTCTAGCATCTGCTCGAGAAAGTAATAAAGCTAAAGTTCAACGTAACGGACTACTAGTATCGATTTAAATAGCAGAACCGCGGAAGCTGTTATGTCTACTTCTTCCTTTAGTACGACGTACCAAATTACGAAGTATCTATACCGGATAGCCGTCGGTTGTTTGCGTAGCAATAAGGCATATATATTACTGCCCTTAATCCTAAGCTAGGCCGTAATCTTAGACAAGGGGCTACAATCTAGTATAGTACTAGGGAATTGATAAATACGTAAGAAGACCTAGCGGACATTATCAACCGAGTATAGCGCTATATCTATAGCGACTACTGTTAAGCGAAGCGGAAGGATGATCTAAATAGAGAGTTAACGTATCGATTCTACTTTCTAAGGAAGCATCGAGATACTACCGATATTAACTACGAGTATAACAACTACTACCTTAGTTTTACCGCCGCCTGCAATAATTCATTCCTTAACTACTTCAACCGATTAATGTCTATAGCTTAGCGGGCTAATTGCGACATTATACCTTATACTACCCTTTATGCTATAATGCAGTATATTCTTAAGTACTGTAGCAAGACTAAGGTAAAAAGCTAATTATACGATAACATTATAAAAGGCCTACTACCTCTTATCAACTACGATAAGCCTCTACTGTCTATAGTAGCTAAGCTCTTGAACATCTTAATTATAGAGCGTAACTAGCTAGCTTAGTAGGTTGCTTACCTTAACTTACATCTCCCTCTATAGAAAGGCAGCCGCACTATAATTAACTTAGATTGTCGACTATAGACAGAGCAAACCGCTCCAGTTTAGATTAGTAATAAAGAAGAAGAAGAAGCAGAAGAACAGGCGATCGGCGATGCTACCGGCGCTAGTTAAGGCGAAGCAGACAACTAGACCTAAACGAATGCTCGAGCACCTACCCGCACTTCCCTCTAGAAGTATATGTAGCGTCCTAATATCGTAGAGCAGGAGAGCCTCTTTACGTACTTAACAGAATAGAACCTATAGGTCCGTAGATAGCCTCGGAAGCTTAGGAATGTCGACCGCGATCGCAGACTACTAAACTACTTCCCGCGATATTCGTCTAATCTAACTAAGCCTACTTACATTCACTATTAGCGCATAAAGATCTGGATTTATTACCTATTCCGCGAGCTGCCTTAGTATACCGAGACCTCGCCCTACTCCTTTCCGGATAAACCTGATATCGAGTTTATATCTTAGGCGGCGGCATTGTAGCACTATCGACAAAACTACGTCGACCTAGATAGTTACTCTTTGCATCCTAATAACTACTTATAGGACATCGATCGAGACGATAGCGATCCGTTTATCGACCTAGAGCTTTAGAACCTTAGCGAGCCCGCTAACTTTAATGCACTATATAGACTATTACTAAACCTAGGTGTTTAGGACGAGGATCCGAATAACCTAGGCGATCGTAATATTAATAGGGGTGCCTTTTAGGAGCCTCGTATTAGCAAGTACCTCGATACCTATCTAGATCTCTACGATATATCTAAAGACTAGTAGCAAGCAAAGAAGCGCGACTATAGCGCGGTAGATATAGAAGTGTAGTCGCAATCTACTAGTTAATTCGACCGCCTTAATCGATACTAACGCTAAGGCTTTGACCTAATTGTAGACTATTTCTAGCACCTTCTAGATTACCGAGAACGCCTCGTTAATATAACGCTAGCACAGCTGCTTCTTAATGTTAATAGAGTAGGCGGGACCGGAAAATTATTCCTTATTTAGATGCTATACGCTCGACTCTAGAGCAATGCAAAGGCCGCTTATTATCTAGGCAATCCTATTATACGAGCAGCCCCTATAGGAACTGCCGCTTCTAATATCGATAGCTTAACGCTACACTCTATATTCAAGCTGCCTATACGAGGTGCAATTAATGAGCTATAAGGAGCACGCCTTATATATATATAGAACTAGCTTCGTAATGTGTAGTATATTATTATCGACGAGAAGTCTATAATTGGACTTAAACTACTATATTTCTTGGATGTTCGACTCCGCTAGGTGTTTACCCCTAACTAGGACCTTCCTTTTAGTAGTATAAGTATTATTATCTTCGGTAATTTCTGCTAGTTAGCTCCTGTCTTCGCTTAGCTACTATTCTAGAGCCGCCCGAAGGGTCTTAAGAACATCTCCGGGCAGGCTATATACTATGCCTTTACGCAGACGTTAGTACTTAAGGCTAATATGCGACAAGAGGGAGATAATGCGGACTAGGTTGCTTTCCGCGATATACTTATAGCACTTCGTCTTAGCCGTTTTCGTAAAGACTACTAGCAAACTTTGATGCGACGCTCTATATCTAATCTCGATATACTAGAGGTTAGCTCCTTCGACGACGCTACTCGTCTATACTTCACAAATGCCGATGTAAACGAGCTTAATTATTAACGCCTACGAGATATTAGTAATCCTATGCTTCTAGTATTAGCGTCTTATAACCGTCTAGATATTGCGACGGTAAGCTCTAAGAACGCCTACAATCTTAAGAACTAGCTAAAGATTAGCATTAGATGCAAGGTTATACTTCTAGCTAACCTTTAGACTAAATTTGGCCTCGTTAATAGCCGATAAGGTATCCTTTACGACATCGTTTAGGCGCGGGACGCAGTAGGAAAGAATCTTCGCGAAGAGCCGCCTCTTTGCCTCCTCGTAGCCTTTACTAGCCTTAAGGATAACGCTCTAGAGCTCTTTAGAGTCTATAATCGTAAGGTTCTTCCGATCTTCCGGGTTTAACGTGCTATCGATAGTAGCGAAAGCGACTAGCGTCTATAGTTCCCCCTTATAGTCTCCTATGCTCTTATAGTGTATAAGGCTTAGGGTATAACTCTTAATAAGGCTGTCGTTAAGATTAGACCTGAATTCTCCTCTAGACTTATATATATTGCCTTTTCTCGTATTAAGGAATTTCGTAGCTTAATAATTGAGGGAGGGTTTAACTATAATTAGCTTACAAAGGAGCTTACTAAAGGTGCTATACCTAAGATGCGAGCAATAGACGAAGAGCGTCGTCGCAACTAAGTTCTCCCTTCGCCGCCTACTATACTAGTAGGTAGCTCTCGCATGTTCGACTTTAGCGGCTTCTCGGATGCTATCCTATATATAGTTAGTATTACTCCTCGGCAAAGCAGTTACCTACTATCGAACGCATATTAGCAGTCTAATGAAAATAATAGTCTGCCTACCTCTAACGATATAGACCTAGATATAGCGGAAGCAGCTATAGTCGAGGTAGCAATAGATAGGGAACGGGAGACTATAGGCTACCTCCTAGGCTCTGGATTTGTTTTTAACCTATCTAAAATTGGCCTATAGCTACCTCGTAGCTATTATCGCTCCTACGTCGAGCGTAAGCGATAGGTTGCAATCGACAACAATGTCTTTATTTAGCAACTATAAGAGGACGAGTAACGAATCTAGCGTTAGCTCTAGGCTGCTTATCGGCCTATCGTTCCTAGCGCTTCTAACGCGCCTTTACCTTCGCCTTTACCTCGACCTTTACTATCTCCTATGCCCCGAGATCCCGACGACGCTAAATTGATAGCGCTTGCTATACGTCGTGCAAAGACTGAACTTGCCCTCTATAATTACTATAATATACGCGCTACGGAGGTAATTAGTCTAGCTACCTTATTCTACTACCAATTTCATCGCTCCGGTATATTTGCTAACGACTCGGAAGCTGAATCTATATTTTAGCAAACGTTTCTAAGAGAGGCCCTCTATCGCTTAAAGCGAGATACTACTCTTTATCGTAAGGAGTGTCTCGAGACCCTATATTAGTATCCTCCTAATTACCCGATATATAACCTTATAGATCTTGCTATAGAGTTTAGCAAAGACGCCGTCTACGGCGTCTATCCGTTAAGCGTAGATCTAAATATACGATTTCCTTTTAAAGAGCAGGCAGTACTCCCTATCTCGCTTAAGTTATACATCTATATAGCGCTTTATCCTAAGCTAGGCGATAAGGACTATTACCTTGCTTAGTACTTAGTAGAAGACATCGACCGGATTGTACGTATAAGTGCCTACCCCCTCCTAGGTCGCTAGTTTATATCCCCGATGTATAGCGACTAAGAGTCTGTATAGTATAACGAGGCTTAGTACGGCACCGAGTGCGCTATCGATATATTCCGTATAGCCGTCGAGGTTATTAAGGACTTCGACTTTCTAGTCGTATCGAACAATAAGCTTATCTCTAAGGACTAGTAGGATGCTTATAAGAGCGCTAATACTAGAGAGTAGCACTAGCTAGATACGAATACCTTGCTTTCTTATCTAGCGTAGCTTAGCTTCAAAGCTAGCACTACTAGACCTGTTGCTACTGTATACTTTTCCGCTTTATACTTTATTGCTAGACAAGCCGACCCTACCGCTAGCACCGTATAGACGTAGAATACATAGGGCGGTATAGATAGCAAGCGCAGAATCGGCCCTCTCGGAGGACGATTTATAACTGCTCTTGCCGACTTACTGTCCTGCTTTCTGTATATACGCAGCGCTAGATAGCTAAAGCCTAGTAGCTAGACTTATATTAAGACTGCTAACGATGCAGTTACATAGCAGCCCGATCCGTACAGTTGTAGTCCGCTTATTACAGATTTAATTGTTGCTTTATTAGAGAACAAAGTCATCCTTCTATATACCGAAAATCTTGATCGCTACTATTAGGACATTCGCCGTCGACACCTCTAGGTTATATACGATAGAATCGATAATAAGGCGCAACCCTAACGCCGACGTGTACAGACTACGCGGCTGCTAGAGCCTAATACCTTTGTGACCGCTTTCAACTAAGGCCTTCGCGATAGGTATATTAAGATTGAAGCTAAGCGCTAGGCAGCCGTCTAAAATGAATAGCGTTAGCAAGAAGCTATACGCGAGTATGAACGTTAGGAAGCCCTTACTGCCTTCCAATTGCAGTATTATTCTAATATATAGGAAGGTCGAGGTCCGCAAGCTAGGTAGGCTTTACTCGATCTATCTACTCTAATAGGTTTATAGGACTTCTTAGATAGTAACGAGGAGCAAGACTTTAGTAGCGATGTGTAATCTCCTAATTAGAGTACTTCTCTAATATATACTGTCGTTGTATCACTTCCTGCTTTGCTATTACCTTTACTTAGGCTAGCTACTATTAAGCTATAAGCATAGATCGCGATTATAAGCGGCTTGCCGCTTATAACCGCGATCGCTTCTAGCGAGTATACAGATAGCAGAACGCTTACTAATAAGCCTATTTAGCCTAAGTTGCTCTATAGATACTAATAGCTTGCCTTTTCGATTAATGTAGTCTTTATATGCGATTAATACGATAACGAGGGCGCTATTCTATTAGCTAGTAGTGCGAAAGCTTCGCTCGCACTTAGTAGGCACGCGTAGCCGCCTACAAGTACATTTTCTTTCTATTATATATCGCCTCCTTCGCTATATTCGCAATTTTAGCACTTCGGCGTAGGGGCTTAAGCGGTCGTAAAGTCTTATGCGTAGAAATATTGCTAATATGTAATCCTTAGGAGGTCGTTGCGCCCGATGTAATTGCTATCGTTGCTAAAGGACTAGCGGTATGTTCTTAGTAACAGCGCTTAAGTCGTTTCGGTAATGATTCCTTAGACGAGCTACGTCGGCGTTTAAGTAATTAGCACGCAGGTAAAGAAACCATCGAGCGTGTCTTACTAGCCGAAACTACATCTCTGCTCCCTATAAATCTAGTATGCTTCTGTATATGCTATCCTTCGATGTTCTTTAATCGACTATGCTTAAGTCTTCTACGCCTGTCTAGATTACTAACAACATTAATCGGGGAACTTAACTCGAGCTCGATTGCCGGGATCTGCCGAATGATCTATCGTAATAACAAATTGTAGCGGGCTGCTTCGTCTTTCTTAGATCGATAGGGCCTTAAAGTCTAAAGAAAGTTAGCGACAGCGCTATTCCGCATCCTAATTAACTCGTATCTCTCCTTAGTGGCATTCAGCTTGGCTTGTTCCGCTAATAGGCGTTGTCGAAGACGATACGGTTGTTATAGCTAATTTTGTAGCCTGCTAGGCCTTTTCTTCTTAGCCTGCGTGCTAACGAGTAGTATAAACATCGCAGATCACATTATACGTTTCCTTAGGCCGTAAGACGTGTAAGCCTATACGCTTTTTCCAAGCATTATCGTGCCGCCGCTCGAGACGTTCGGCGAAATTTGCTAGCCGGTAGTAGAACTAATGCTCGTAGCCGAGATATTCGATCTAGGTGGTTACCTTATCCTGCTAATCCAGATCCTTCTACTAATTTACATTTACATTCACAGAATGTATAAATATTCATACTTATATCCAATATTTATAAAACAAAGAGAGAGTTACTTTACTAACGATAAAAAGCGTTCTTTGCTACGTAATTTAGTTACGCAATAAGTTACGTAATACGCTACGTAGTATAGATGTTACGTAGTATGTGTTACGGATCGATTCTGTAGCAAGGGGCACGGAACATTACGTGCGCGTCCGCGGATAGGAACCCCTACGGACATACAAGTCACGTAAGCGTCCGTACGACTATACGACTACGGACGTCTAGACACCGGACGCACTTACTACCAAGACTAGCATGTCTCTTATGTATTTAGGAACGCTAGAGATGCCTCTAGCTTCTAATACGTTCAACTTATGTTATATACTTACTAATTAGAATTGAGCCTTTGTTCTATTTAGATCACATCGTTCCCGTTTACTATTGCCTCTCTAAAGAAGCTTAACTACGTAATTAACTATTCCTCTTTAGGCTTAGTCGATAAACGAGTTATAACAGTATGTTACATAATCTAGCTACGTAATTTTGGCGTTTTAGTAAGAAATATCTCTAAATTAGACATCCGTAGTATAGCTAGTTAATTATTAATTAAATATTTACATTTATAGAGCTAGATTCAATATAGTAAATTAGTAAATATATGCATAGATTTAATATTTAATAACTATATGTACCTTAGTAACAAGCGGCAAAGCAAGACGAGCTATTTAGATATTAATTTATATTACTAAGTTACGACACATCTCTTATTTTAAAATCTAGGCCTATAAACAAGCGCCTTACGCAATTCCGCGTTATACTACTTACGTATATAATAGTATACTCTAATTCGTAGGCGTCCTAGATCTATAGGACGTTAATCTTAAGAGCTACTTAATAGGATGTTATATTGCTACCTACTATAGCCGATTAATAGCGTACCTAAGCCCTGTTTTTTAGCCTAAGTAGGAAAAGCTAATTATAAACATCCTACTAGAGGCCTTAAATACCCTACTACGCTCGCATTAGAACGAAAATTCGAATGCAATAGAGAGGTTTTCGGAGTTAACGACTGTTTTAAACCTATATAAGCAGATAGAGTCGGAATTCTATTCTTTAATTTGCTAGAAACCTCTACTAAGGGCGCTATTCGATCGGACGTAGTAGGTAGCTATACCCTAAGCCTGCTAGCTAGGCTAGGCATTAGGCGCACGGATAATCTACTACTCTCGAGAGCAGTTAGGTATCTATACTAACCCCTATAGATAGGTCCTAAGTATATCGGGGTAATAACTACTAAAGTTACCTCCTATATCCGACCGATAGCGCACCCGAGCCTTGCTTATCGCTAAAGAAGGACGATTTTACGAGAAATTCCCTACTAGAGGCCGTAAATTCCCTACTACGCTCGTATTAGAATAGAACTTCGAAGCCGACAAAGAGGTTTTCGTTATTGTCGGTTATTTTAAGCCCGTAAAAGCGGCAGATAGGCTCTAAACCCCTAGCTATCTTATTTGCTACAAACCCTAGTAGGTAACTATAAGTGCGGTCCGGAAGAATCGTAGGCTGCTATCTACCTAGTCTATATAAAGATGTCTGTATATAGTAAAGCAGAGCTAGAATCCCTAAAGACGTAACTAACCTCTAGGTCCTTTAAACAGCCCGCTCCTAGGCAGCAATACTATATTTAAGAACGCGTATTTAAGCAGTGCTATAGTATCTAGAGCTTTATCTATAGCTTAACCTCTCTTAGCGACTCGACTCGAACTAATATCTATTAGCGATTAGCTGCAATAGCCGACTCCGGTTTTGCGTACAACTATATCCTAGTAACTATTACGGTTTATAGCAAATGTAAGGCCAATCCTTAATACTAGGACTTAGAGAGTATATATAGGTATGTAGGTCTATTACGTGCATAATGCCTTAGGCTACAACTGCCGCACTTCTTCTTCCGACTTTCTTATAGATAGTCTCTTTCCGAATACATTAGTTATATTAAGTCTAGGTATTAAGTGAAATTTAATAACTATAGTATAGGGAAGGGGGAAGTTACAAGACTCCGGCTAGGATTACTATAGGCTAATCGATAAACCGATATTCTAATTGCCCGAAGTATATATACTAGGAACACTAGGCACCTTACGTAGTAGGTTTCTAGCCGGTTGCTATATGTAAGAAGCCGCGAATAGCGCTGTTTTAGCGGCGGAAAGTGAATAACCAAAATAACGGCTTATAAGAGCTTGCGTAGGTAATTTAGTAGCGTTTCTTAGTAGGCTGCTTAGTAATTAACCTCGGTGCTAAGAGGCAGCTAGGGTCGTAGACCTTACTATAATTAGTATTATAGATTAGACGTTAATTGCTATGCTATACTATAGAAGAATACGACTCTAACGGCTTCTTAACTAATAAGGATATTATTGCAGTCTGTAGTAGAATACTAGCAACAACTGTAGCTGTTTTAGCCTCTAAGGCCGACAATCTACTAGATCTAGCTATTCGCCGAGAAGGCGAGACTAAGCGTAAATACTAGCATAGACAGGCTCGTAATAATAGGCTATATAAGCCGCTACGCGAGTATCTAAGAGATAAGCAGTAGTCGCTAGAGACATACCCTAAGGCTAATTTTAAGGGCGACTTCCGCTTTACTAAGTAGTAAGTAATTAAGCTAGCCGAGTTGCTAGATATTAAGTCGATCGAGTTGCCTAAGCGCATACGTTACGATCTAGTAACGGTGCTATATATCGTTTGCGGAAGGCTTAGTAATCCGGGTTATTAACGCAATCTAAGCTAGATATTTAGTCGTAGTAATAGCTAGATTAGTCGTGTATTTAATACCGCGTATACTTAACTAGCAAGGCGTTAGAAAGAGCGATTAGTATAGGACTTTAACCGGTTAAGTAAAGCCTACCTATAGCGAATAGCTATTACGGTTGCTAGATTAATCGATATAGAGTATGTCTTCGGATATATCGATAGTACCCTACGGAAGTACTATAGGCCGACCTATAACTAGCGGCTGTTCTATAATAGATATAAGCACTTCTATAGACTTAAATACTAAGGCATTGTCCTTCCGGATAGCATAATATTACTATATAGTCCGGTACCCGGCTCCTACGGCGATATAACGTTAATACTAGAGAGTAGGTTTAATAAGGTTTAGAAGTCGTATTTCGAGCCGCCTAGATAGCTATATCGACCCTTCGAAGAGCGGGTATTCTTATATAGTAATTAAGTATATAATGTCGCCGATAGGGTTATAAGAAGCTAGAAGACCGTAAATAGCGAGTTTCGTAATACTAACGAGGCTACAGCTATAAAGGAAATAAGTACTATCCGCTAGTTAGTCGAATAGGGCTTCGTAGAGGTTGTTAATAACTTCGAGTTAATAAAGTACTTCTACGGGCTCCGAGTCGAGTTAATGCTGGTCGGAGCGATATATATCGTTACTATATTGCTTACTAATTACCTTACCTATTATCGTAGCGAGAACAAGATTAGTCGACTATACTATATAAAACCCCCGAGTACGCGCGAATATCTCGCTAATCTGCCCCCCCTACCTATAATACCTCTAACTAGCGACGACGACCTTCTACGCTACGGTAGGCACTTCGGATTAGGCTTTTAGATAGGCGACGAGGTGTTCGATAGCGGCGCTTTATTTAGATATAGTCGGACGGTTGTACCGGACTATAAGACGGACGAGATTAAGGTTATTAATATAACGAGAGAAGATTAAATTAGGAGATAGAGGTAGAAGATATAGGAAAGTAGTAGATATAGGTATACCCGTACTAGCGCGTAGTATATTATACGAGATGCTTTACGACTTTAATACGATAATAACCTTACCGATCTTATATACTCTTACGTACGCTATGTTCTTTAGTATACGGCGCGTCTTATCGTCTAAAAACGAGCGAAAACGAGTAATACGTTATTACGTAACGAGTCGTAGAATGTCGAGGCCCGCTTACTAAGCGATAAAATCTCGGCTTTCCGCGTTACTTCGAGCTATATACTACAACCCCTACCCTATTTTACGAGTCCCTTAGAGCTGTCGATACAAATTCGCTATTCGAACTCCGACTCTACGATTTTATTAGGTATAGAGGGTCTTAGCGTTCTCGTACCGAACGAAGCTACGATTTCGAATAGGTACTCGTAAAAGAAGATATTAACTAAGTAATTACAACATTCTCGATAATAAGAACATAACTACCGCAATATACTAAGCTTAACCCTTACCCTAATCCTTACTCTAACCCTTACCCTAACCCTAACCCTAATCCTAATCCTAACCCTAATCGATTAAATTATCTACGAGAATACGTCCTTATCGATAGTATTAAGGTCTACGAAGCCGTCGCTATCGTTATCGTAGTCTAGCGAGTCCGTTTAACTATCTATAATTTCGTTAGAAGGAAGCTCTATTTATAATAAAGATAAGGGTCTTAATAGCAACGAAGCGGTTATCGTTACTTATAGAGCCTAGATACTAGACTAGACAGCATTAATTTAACGTACTATCTTTAGCTTAACGTCTCTTACTACGGCGCTTATTACGGCGGACAAGTCGCTTATATCTCTCGTACGGCTAGTAGGACTTAGTATACTCGGCGCCTCGCTAACGGCGCTAATAATAGAGACACTTAAAGACTCTAATAGCGAGCTAATTCTACGTCTTAAGCTACGGCCCTTAGCGAGTATTCTTAGAGTATTAAACATAGGCGATAGTACCTCCTTTAGTATAGCTCCTTATATCTATAATCTACGCTAGAGCCGTTTAGTCTCGAAGTCTAAACGACGGCGCTTAGCAAGCTAAGCGGTATTACTATCGACCGTAGATAGCGTCGATAAGTCGATAACTTCTACTTATTAAGTAGGCGTTATTAGAGCAGCTAGATTTAATGCTACTAGAGTCGCCGCTAGAGCCGCTACTAGAGCCGCTACTACTAGAGCCGGAGCCGGAGCCTAACTACTACGCTAAGAGAGTATTAATAGTATAGTATTACGTATATTCTCGGTAGGACTATTAAATGCCTTTAATTCCTTCGCATTTAATATCTTCTCGCGCTATACCTTATCTAGTCGAAACAGTATCTCCGTAGCCTTATCGAGAAGCTAATCTTAAAGGGTCTCTACTACGACAACTCCGGAAGCTCTGTTAAGAGGCCTTCTCGCAACTACTCGGCGCTTAACTATAGCACGATAAGCCCTTACTAGATCGCTAATAAGAGGCTTATTAGTTAGCTAAGTAGCAGTAATAATAGACTTAAAGCTAGCATTCTAGTTACGCACTTTGCTAGTTACTCGCTTATAGGCTATAGTAGCGCTAACCTTAGCAAGGGTAAGCTTACTAGCCGCCGAGATATAGCTATTACTATTAAGTCGAGTATTACTATGTTCTTTAGCAATAGTAGCGGCAATAAGGTCGTCTTAAGAAGGACCTATATTAACTAAAGTTTGACTATCGGTCTAACTGTTAATTAGAGTGCTATTTAGCGTAGAAATAGGCTCCTTAATTAGCGTAGATATTAGCGTAAAAACAGGCGTAGAAATAGGCGGCTAGATAGGCTACTAGATAGGCTGCTAGATAGGCTACCGGATAGGCTCTTCGACTAGCGTAGAAACGATTAGTATATTTACCTCGTAGACCTAATTAGCTACTAAGCGATAGGTTGTTAGACTATCGAGTAATATAGTTAGACTATATAGCGCAGGTTAACTATAATAGTCGCAGACTATAGCTAGTAGCGTATAGAAGGAAGGACCTAAGCGAGGGTATAGATCGCTCTACGAGAGGCTATAGTTTAGGTCGAGAAGTGCGGTAATAGGTAGTAGGGTAGGTCTTAGGGTAATAGGAACGGCTATAATACTAAGAAGCCTTAATTAGGAGGTATTTGCTAACAAGTCTAAGCTTCCGAGTACTATACGTGTTCTCGGAAGCCCTAATATATACCTCCCTCGAGGTATAGACTTAGTTGTAATTATAATAGCTCCCTACCGAGGTCTCTATTTCTATAACGGCTCTTAGAGTAATTATATATAGGCCCCTAGACCTATATAACCTCTAGTAGCCGCATAGCGACCTTTACCTGCCTCTTACTAGACTCTCCGTCTTTATATATATATATAAGGGGCATATAGTAGCCGGTAGGAGATAGCTACTATACTAAAAGACTAAATCTAATAGAAGGCGGAGACAGGGTTTAAGCTATTTAGCTAAGGATTTAGTACACTCCTTTACTTAACTATTAACGGCCTAGCGCAGGGTCTAATTAGCGTATTTTCGATTATATAAGCGTATACGGGTAACTATACGAGCTCGTATAGTTACTCGTACTTTTATTTACTTAATCCTTTACGCACGGATAACTGCACCGAGTTTATTCATATGCTAGTGCACTAGCGCGAGCCACTTCCGCGTACACGGAGCGCAACTGCCAATTCAAACCTACTGCGCAAGGTGCCTGCTGGATACAACACACAAATCGGCCGATGAGGTTGGTGTCACGCTAATGCACGTGTCCTTTCAATCAGCTAAAATCCTTACGCAATCAGACCCTGGCTTCTTGGCGCGAGGCACCAATCGCTGAAGGCCAGCCTCAGGCAGAAGAAGTGACAATGCTACTCCACGTGGGGGGAATTAGCGCTTAGTGGGCATCAGGGGAAACTCTTGGCTACGGTCTTGTCTTGTTGTAAATCTCGTTTAGAGGTCACATCGTTCCAATACTATCCTTTTCATGGAATCGCATACAGGTCTTCAAGACCACATCGATCAGGTCACGTATTGGCAACCTGCTGGCGTCAAGAGATACCTCGCAGCCTCTTCCCAAAATTATGTCGGACTTATGGAGGACGGTCAAACTGTGCTGAAATATCCCCTACGCAAAACACACGACGCTTTGCAGACTCTGCGCAAGGAGGCCGAGCGCTATATTCGTCTTGGTTCCCACAAGAATCTTTTGACCTTTAAGGGCTTAAACGATGATGGGTTGCTACTTGAATACTGCGAACGAGGAATGTTACACACCGTCCTCGAGGGACCCGACAAATTAACCGATACCCAGAAGATTACTATTGGGAAGCAGATTGTCTGTTGTCTGGTCTATCTACACGACCACCATTTTATCCACTGCGATCTCCATGTTCGCAATGTGTTTGTAACTTCTGACATGAGTGCCAAAGTTGGCGATCTCCAAGGGCAATTATTTCGACCCGATGGCAGTATTGAGATGGAAACAATGACACAAGAGAATGCAAAGTCGCGTCACCCATACGCAGGTAACGACGAGTTCTCGCGACGGACAGATATCTTCGCTTTGGGAACATTGCTCTACCACTTGTGGCATGAGCACCCTCCCTTTCCCGAACTTGACGAATTCACTCATAAGGATTTGATCGAAGCAAGATATCGCGCTGGACATTATCCTATTAATCTTAGGCTGAGTACTGGTATCGAGAGCATTATCGGTAAATGCTGGCGTTCGAGCTACGAAGGCGTTCACGAGGTGCTCGACGATATGGAGAAACTTGATGGCATGGAGACGCAGTATACGACAGTATATGCACTGTCCCCGTGAGTAGCGGCGTAAGGCAGAGCCGCACTCCGCGCGGGCCGGAATATGAAGCCTTCGGGGCACAATCTACCTATGCAATTGAATGATAGCGTCAAGAAACCCACGATATGTCTGTGAATATCTTCGCCATCTTGTGCATACAAGCAGTAAGCTAAGAGAACAAACTTGAATACTAGTTCCATGACATGCGGCTTTGGTGCTCGGAAGAGCTCGCAAGCTCAATCGCTCCTGCCGTTGAAGCTATACGGGTCCTGTCTTCTTCCTGCCTTTGAGCCCGCACACTCCGAAGTGGCCAATTGCAGAGACATAGAAAAGCCTGCAGCTGTTGTAAATGAATGCAGAGCCAAGGCTTCGAGCTCCAAAGGGCTGTCCAGAGCCACATAATGATCAGGCTCCTGGAAAAGGGTCAGCCGATCACAATTAAATCTTTGGCGTTTTTGAGACTTGCAGGAGTCTAGTGGAGCACGAAATCGTCGACGAAATCTTCGTCCCGAAGCCTGGGTTACTCAGACCCCATGCCCTCGAGGTGGTATATATGAACATTGCGATTTCGTATGTTGAGGCGATGGCTGGAGGTGTGTAGAGATTCGCATTGTTGCCATGCTATTTCCGTCAGCAAACAATATCATAGAGACTCGCTGCACTTGACCTACGGGAATGGAAGCAACGATAATCGCCGGGGTAATGAGGGTCACCGCAATCACAGACTTGAGCTTCTGTGTAGGCCTTTCCATAGGGATGATAACGAAATATGATGCTTCCTCTAAGAACGCAGTTGTGCAGACCGCAACTCGGGCAGATAGTCTCTAGATGGCAGGTCAGTTACCAGGAAAGATAGAGACGTCATCGAACTATACCAGACATTCTGCTCCCAAGTCATGAGAGAGCAAAGATATGATTCCAAGAGAGATGGCCGCTAGCTGATTCTCTAGTCAGCTCTTTGCGCAAGTACTTCACAAGCTCGTCCATGGACCATCCTACCCAGGCCAATATCCCCCATGCCACAGAGTCCCATCGCCACAATCGCCATGAGTACTTCCTTCCTTTCGCAAGATGATGACCAAACGCTACGAGTAGTGACACAAGGCTAACCAGATATGCGATTGGAAGATATTCGAGGTGATCGAGCATTATAGGCGGTGGCATTGATGTTTTGTACTTCGATGTTGTGAACTTTGGCTGATACTAGATCGTGCATGCTGCAAGTTTTTCTAGGTGTTTCTCGGTATACATATATCTTACCACTGCCCTGGCGCTTCCAGAGAGTGACAAGAGCATGTATCCCATTATAACTCGTCTGAATTTTGAATTTGCCGATAGATCAGCTATAGCTACGTATAAGTCCTCAAACAGGCCTTGATATCTCGGCTGCGTCCTTGCTCGCACATCTATAATGCGATTCTCCAACGAAGTACGCCGAAGGGGTACACCACATAGAAAAGGTATCGAAGCAATGACAGCCAGCCGTCCGTCGCATTTTGACTATGTTGTAGCGCCAGCGAATAATCGTCATCCACAGACCCAGACCCAGCAAGGTAATGAAGACTGCAACGAGTGCAACGGCGACTGCGGGAGCTTGTTAAGGGCCGGATGAAACCTTCGACGCGGCCTTACTGCGATGCCTAGATGGTGAAGTTATCCGGCTTGATTTCGTACACTAAACGAACACGATGGAATTTGCTGCCGATAGGGGTTACTAGCCACGATTTGAAGAGCAGAGCAAGACGGGCACTGATTTTATGAACAACAGGATAGCAAGCTATTGTGGTCAATGCCTTCGACCGATCTGGCTATCCTTGCCCCGAATGGCAAGTTTCAACATTTCAGCGTTAAGGCAGATTGGAACGCAAGAATCCTCTTCTGTTCTTTAGTCGCGAACATGCATTGCCCAACTACTGCTGAGATGCAGGATGCATTGTCATCATAAGAAGCTTGAGGCCAGTGTGCAACCTTATCGCCTACGGGTCTGAATTCAAGGGCGGCTACAACTTTTCGTAGCTTGCAACTTCCTCCGCTTTGCGATCGCATAAGCTCGCCATGTGGACGTCTTTCCACGAAAGGCCGCGAGGCTGGTGTGTCGTCCAATGGATATGAGACTTGAATGGCGTCTGCAGCACAAGTCAGCAAAAATTGTTTTGCGTGTCCGAACATTACGTGCCGATGTAAGCGTAGGATGATGCTGTTTGAACCCAGATATTTCGTTGACGATAGCGTCGAAGAACTTGGATCCAGTTAGTGTTTGAACGCTTATATAGTGTGACTTGCGATGCGACGCCTTGATTTCTCAAAGTGGTATTCTTTTTCAATCCCGTTTCCCTTAGCATCCACCTTCCAACCGTTCTCGAGCAGCCTAGAGAGTTCTTGGGCGATGTCTGTCTCCCGAGTGTTGGAGCTAAAGACAACTGCTTGTGTTGTATTACGATGGTGGTTCTCTGCCATAACGGATGCGAAAGCAACGAAAGGGAAGATGACAGAACAGCCTTCATTACTGAGCAATACTATGGGCTACAGTAAGCCTGTCAGTTGGTGCGGGGAAGACGTACACCTCCGAGAGAGGCTTGGCGAGCACACACACCGCTATTTTATACTATAATCTGCTCTTCTACGCTCTTGTAATAGTGTAGAATTTTCTATAAATCGTGTCGTCGATATACTAGCGGTATAGCGAGTTTCTAGGTATTGTTGTCGCTATAATACAACTAAAGCCGATCGATAAGGCCTTATAGGCGCTTCTTAAGTCCTATTTCGCGCAAGGCTATACACCTAAGCGGATAATTGAAGAGACAAAGGTCCCTATTACCGTAAGGTCGATATATAGGTATTAGTAGAAGTAGCGGCTATTTAGCGAGTTGTATATAAAGAATAGTAGCGCTATTCGAGGTTAACTACGGAGGCTTCTTTATAAGGAAGAAGAGTAGCTTTACGACTATCTCTACGAGCGGCTAGACACCTATTTCTAAGAGATGATCTCTGCTCTTTATAACGAGTTTATACGGCTTCGTCCGATTAATAATAGTAGTAAGGGCATCCGACTAACGCCTATACTACTATTTCGGACCTTAAAGCGTTAGGGTTGGAGCCGGAAGCGTATATAGGTAAAAGCGAAGGAGCGCAACCTATTACTAAGGGCTTTATAGGTAATAAGGTGTGCGAGTTAGCCGGTAGATAGGCTTGTCTTCGTAGATAAGACTGCGTATAATTAGAAGACTAGTTAGCGGAAGTATAGATAGTCAATTCGAGGTATAGGCTATATAGATTATTAGTATACGAGGCGAGAGGTTAGGTAGTCTATCCTACCTGCCTTTACGATCTACGGTTATTTGCCGTATACGTACGTATACTAAGGATCGATTAATAGTAAGCGGTTTAGCACCTAGTTAGAAGAAGAGGTCCTACCGTACCTTAAGGGTAGTCTATCTATAATATTTGTAATAGACAATGCTAGTATCTACTATAGTAGGAGGGTTAAAGAAGCGATACTAGAAGCTAGCTATTACCTCGAGTTTCTACCGCTATACTTACCGGATCTAAATCCTATCGAACAGACCTTCAATCTACTTAAGAAGACTATAAAGAAGTACCGCTATAAGCTGCCGCTCTTTAAGGGTTTCTAGGGCTATTTAGTATAGTGCCTATACAAGTATAGAGGCCGAAGAGCGCGCGGATTGTTTAAAAACGCTAGATACAACGTCGAAGGGTACGATTTGCCGTACGATCCTAATCACTTCGAAACGACCGCCGGATCTACGCAAAACATACTTAATATAGATGCTAAAGAATCCGCATAGTATACGTACTATAAAGGGTCGCCGCCGGTAGTGCTTAGTAACCTAGATAGTTGTATATAGAGTAAGGAAGAGTTTAAGCAAGAACTCGAAGAATCGGACATAGATTTCGAGGACTTCGAGTAACGTTATTAGCGCCGGTAAGCGCCGAAGGCAGAGAATTAGATAAATAGTTCGAACGCTAGTATTACCTAATGCTCTATTTCTTCTACAACTAACGCATTTGATTTAATATACTAAATTAGGTCTAAATAAGTGCGATTACAGTAAGAATCTCCCGCTTATTACAAGGTTGTATATATTGTAGTAATAAAAAGAATAGCGCCGAAACAAAGCCCGAATTCGATTATATCTCGCCCTCTTTAGTAGCGGCTCTTTCCGTAGCGATAAGATTATTATCCCTCTCCTTTAGCTATTCTCGAATAGCTTCCTTTAATCGTAGACGTATACTACATACTTTATTAAGCTCGTAAGGCTAGTTAGATTAGTCTATATTAGCGATAGTATCGAGACGCTATACTGTTCCTACGAAGAACTTAATATAGGCGCGTAGAGAGTCCTGTTCCGCGAAGTCCGGCTAAAGGCTATACTAGTCGAAGAATTCAGCTATTACTTACTAAGATATCACTGTACGCGGTACTTTAAGCGGCGCCTTATATCTAGAGCGATAGCCGGTAAGAGCGCGAGTAGGAGTCCTTAATAGCGTACTAGGAATACGACTAAGGCTATTGTTCTGTTAGTGTAGCATACCGCCTATAAACTCGCCTATTATCTTTATTATACTACCGTTCTTACCGGCTAGTAAGTCCGAGTCGCTGTTGCGCCGCATTCGACGAGTATTCTAGCCTTAATACTTCTTCTTAATCTTGCGAGAAATTAGTATAATCTCGACCGAGACTAGAAGCCTATCTAGCTAAGAGCCGTCCTTATTCTATACGTATTTACCCTTCGCAATCGCCTAGCTTAATTTAACTATTATAGCGTCGTAGAAGGGGAAGTGGTTCTCGCTAAGCTCCTTTACCGAGCGATTAAACTAGTAAGTAGACTCGCTAGCCTTCTTGCTATTAATACAGTCCTTGCGAGTATAGAGCTACTCGTTAATAATCTTAAAGTCGTACCTGCTAGACGACTCGAGTTTAGTAACGATTAGACTAGTATTCCTTATTTAGATAGTATCTAGATTCTTCTTTAACTTCTTACTACTAACCTCCTTCCTACCTTTGCCTCTAGCTACTACTAGTTGCTTAGGCTTTATATAAAAGTCGAGATTAATAAAAGGCTTCTTCCTCGACGCTTTTACTAAATTAATTACATAGTTAAGAGCTTGCCGGTAAACCACGTCGCCGTCGATATCGTTACCTGCTTAGTGCTAGTCGCTAGTAAACGCATTCTTCGAGCCTTTAGCGCCTGCTCGAATAACGACTCGATAAGGTCGTTAATAGCCGTTAAGCTAAGCAAATTTCGCCGCCTACGTATAGGTATCCTACGGCTCTTTATCTCTCGTAGTAAGGAAGCTAACTGCCTTCGTAGTAAGCGACCGAGCGGCGCCCTTCTTAGCCGGATTAAATACAGTCTATTGTCTAATATAATAGAAGATTTCCGGTTTATTACCTAAGAAAGAGCTAGGAGCAGTAATAGGCACGTTACTAGTAGCAAGAGCGGACAGACTGCTAGTAGTAGCCTCGGCTTCCTACGCGGCGTTAAAAGAGGAGGAAGTAGAGTAAGAGGCGGAGGGAAAATAAGCGGTTTTGCTAGGTAAAACACTACTATTATCCCCCTCCGAGGGAGCTACGGCCTCCTTGCTTTAGGCAGCTACGGGACTAGCGATTAGATTAGGCTCTTCTACGGTAGTCTTCTTGCCCTTTCTGCCGGCGCTAGACCTACTTATTGTACTACTCTTTGCCTACTAAGTCGTATTAGCACCTCGTCTTATTAGCGGCGGCGATATAGGCTTCTCGAGAGACTAGATTACCTTCTTCTTTAGTATAGAAGCGGTTAACTCGTCGTCTAATCGAGCTAGAGGTACGCTAGTAGTCGTACGAGTAGACCTTGTTAGCATTATTGCTAGCAATCGATAGAGATACGCGTACGAGGCTTGAATAGACGATTATTCTCTATTTTACGACAATAGATAGGAAGAAGTACGCAATTCTATATACAAAACTACTATTGGAATCCCTCCTTAACCGGATAAGGAGAGGAGGAGGCTCTGCGGACCGTACTAACAGGCTTACTGTAGCCTATAGTATAGCAGGCTAGAGCAATGACGTCAAATTTCTCGAACTTTCTAGCTTGGCGATTATATCCATGCCCTAAAATCGCAGTCCCGGAACACTAAGCTCTGCCTGCTGCATGTCTAAGAGACCCTTGGCCTCCTTTACGACAGCATGTTCGTATGTATCTCTGTAAAGGTTGACTGAAGAGATGACACTGACTGCCTAGATGTTACTACGACTCTCAAAACTGCTGTGTCGCTCCAATGCCTGCTGCAAATGTCTCTAGTATTGCAATGCTGTTGTGCGATCATCGCAGCTGTGCGAACAAATCGCTCTCGAACATAACAAACGAATGTGGAGCATCTGGTCTATGACATCCGCTCCCTGCTCTAGTGAGTGAAGATCACCGAAGTACTCCTTAACCTCCACGAAATCTCCAGCTGCTACCAGCGCATTTGCGATAGACACTTTTACGCGGCGGATTGCCCTTATCTGGGGGCATTCCGCAGCTTTCAGGGTCGTTAGTTGAGGAAGAAGCAGACGTACAGCCTCGTCCGCCTGCTGCATCTCGATCAAACAGTCTGCTATTGCACACAAAGTCAAATTCCTGCGTTTTGGAGAATTCATTACCAATTGCAGACTTAGTTGAATCCTGAGGCATGTGCCTAGGTCCGTGCACACACGCGGCACCCTATTTAGCGACTTCTCGTTTCTTCCGTAGACACACTATCGATTATCAACTATCGAATATACACACTTCAAGTAGTTATAAGCCCTCGACTGCTACCGCAGACTAACTAACTAAATACCCTCCTACGTAAAGTAGGGGGTACGAACAAGACCTAACTAAGACCGATAACTGAACAGCTAAGCGCTACAACTAAACAGCTAAGATAGCCGTTTCCGACTCGACTACTGCGACTATCGCGACTAGCGGCATTCGCAAACTAATACCTACTAACTATCCCCTCTAGAGCGTCGATATTAAGGCCCTTCTACGGCGCTCTAAGCTACTAAAATATACCCAACTCGATAAGAACTAACAAGCCGCCAATTTGGCTATTGCTGTACTAGAGAATAACCCTCGACCTAGTTTAGAGCTAGCAACTAGCAAGAACTAGGCCTTCTAAACCGACTGAACCTAAACCGACTAAATCTAAACCGACTAAACCTAAACCGACTAAACCTAAACCGACTGAACCTAAACTAACTAAACGGCTGCTTTAAGCACCCACCTGCAAGAAGCAGGGGGTATCGTAGCTACTAACTAAACGGCTGCTTTAAGCACCTACCTATAAGAAGCAGGGGGTGTCGTAGCTACTAACTAAACCGCAATCAATACTCAAACCTGCTAGATGTAGGGGGTGCGGCGGATTAACTAACTAAATAGCTATCTAAGGGCAAGATGCCTAGGCTACTAACTAACTAAACAACCATCTAAGGGCAAGAAGCCTAGGTTGCTAACTGAACTAAATAGCTATTGTAAGGGCAAGAAGCCTAGGCTATTAACTAACTAAATGGCTATTGTAAGGGTAAGAAGCCTAGGCTATTAACTAATACCTCTTTGTTTGATTTAAGCGACTTTGTATTTACTAACGTACCTTATATATATACGAGGGGGTAAGTTGAATCCTAAGGCATGTACCTAGGTCTATATATACACGCGGCACCCTATTTAGCGACTTCTCGTTTCTTCCGTAGACATACTATCGATTATTAACTATCGAACATACACACTTTAAGTAACTTTCGTAGGCTTGCGCGAAATTGGACGTAGTACGCTAGACTTTTGTTATAGTTGCGATCCTTATAGCTATTATATCGAAGAGGTAAGGCGATCGACTATTAATACTTCGAGGGACCTAGTCTACGTGTGCATAGTAATCGGCAGCAGCGTCGAAATTTTCTTATTAGACTATATTTTCTAATTTAGATACCGCAAGTCGGCCTAGGGCTGTATCGAATCGTATGCTAACTTTAGAGTCCTTAAGCAACGACTAATCTTCCAAACACCGCATAGAACCGCTATAGTCACCTTTAAGTCGGAGCACAACGCTCTTTTCGTACGTAGCTTTAGCGGTTAGCATTAGGTCGTCTTTGTAGATTGCGAGCGATCTTGCTTGTTCCGTATAGATACTTGAAGTGTGTGTTCGATAGTTGATTAAGTGTCTACGGAAGAAGCGAGAAGTCGCTAAATAGGTGCAGCGCGTGTATACGGTCTAAGCTATAGGACCCTGTGTTTCAAGTTACCCCCTCGTATATATGCAAGGCACGTAGGTAAGTACAAAGTCGCTTAAATCAAACAAAGAGGTATTAGTTAATAGCCTAGGCTTCTTGCCCTTACAATAGCCATTTAGTTAGTTAATAGCCTAGGCTTCTTGCCCTTATAATAGCTATTCAGTTTAGTTAGCAACCTAGGCTTCTTACCCTTAGATAGTTGTTCGGTTTTAGCAACCTAGGCTTCTTGCCCTTAGATAGTTGTTTAGTTAGTTAGTAGCCTAGGCATCTTGCCCTTAGATAGCCATTTAGTTAGTCCGCCGCACCCCCTGCATCCAGCAGGTTTAAGTGTTAATTGCGGTTTAGTTAGTAGCTACGACACCCCCTGCTTCTTATAGGTAGGTGCTTAAAGCAGCTATTTAGTCGTTTAGGTTTAGTCGGTTAGCCGCCGCACCCCCTACTTCTAGTAGGTTAGTGTTAATTGCGGTTAAGTCAGTCGTTTAGTCGTAGTTTAGTCGTGTTAGGTTTAGTCGTATTAGGTTTAGTCGGTTTAGGTTTAGTCGGTTTAGAAGGCCTAGTTCTTACTAGTTGCTAGCTCTAAACCAGGTCGAGCGGTGTTCTTATTATCGTCCTTCTTAGCTAGCTTAGAGTGCCGTAGAAGGGCTTTAATGTCGACGCTCTAGAGAGAATAGTTAGTAGGTGTAAGTTTGCGAATGCCGCTAGTCGCGATAGTCGTAGTAGTCGAGTCGGAAACGGCTATCTTAGCTATTTAGTTGCAGCGCTTAGCTGTTTAGTTATCGGTCTTAGTTAGGTCTTGTTCGTACCCCCTACTTTATATAAGAGGGTATTTAGTTAGTTAGTCTACGGTAGCAGTCGAGGGCTTATAACTACTTGAAGTATGTGTTCGATGGTTGATTAAGTGTCTACGGAAGAAGCGAGAAGTCGCTAAATAGGTGCAGCGCGTGTGCACGGTCCAAGCCACAGGACCCTGTGTTTCAAGTTAGATTAGACGGTCTTTCGGGGCGCCAATGCGGCTCATGGCTAGAGAAGCTTCTATTAGCTCGCCAGTCGTCTCAACATCGAGCTAAAGTTTGCAATTCCGAACGCGCTGCCAGGTGAAGTCAAAACATGGCTTAAGCACGTGCAGAGTGGAAGAGAATCGAGAGACAAGGTTAGCTAAGGAGTAAAGCAGCAAACACTGGCAGGCTCACCGACTTTCGAATTCTGCTTTACGTGGGATTACGAAGCAGAGCAGGCGCAATGCAGGCTTGTACTACGAGATATCGTCCAGAATAGATGGTAGATTGCGCGAGAGTGAGTAGTGCGTAGCATTGGAGACTAGTCGCTTCTCAGCGACTAGATTTGGAAGAAGACTTTTCCATTGTGATGATCCGATAGTCGCACTTAGATGGTCGTCTTGAAGGTCGGATATAGAGATGGAGAATCCCGGGATGTCCAAGCAACATTGCACAAAGGCATCAATCGCCGAGGCGTTGTTGCGAATCTTTTGTGCAACCCTATGGGGATCAATTGCGGAGCGGAGGATTCTATGGCAGGACCAACTCACCAAGTGCTCTTGCCTAGTATAGCAAGAATTCCAGGCCGTGTGTGCCTGTGCTCTAGTACAGCCATATACCATCTTCCGCACCGGCACAGCCTTTCCAGCCTCTTTCGGTCTTTCACGGTCAAAGCCGCGGACAGGCTGTGAAGGACCTCAGCGTTGGAGCGCACTCCCAAAAACTCGATCTGCTAGTCGACAAAGGCTTCGGCAGCGACGGAGACGACGCGCTACATTGTCGCACCGCTCTGTCGTGTTCTGTCTGTCCAGTTAAGTAGACGTGTGGCCACGTCGCCTTTATCTGCCGATTGTGCGGGCAGGATAGGCAATTCTGCATCCTAATCGGCCTCCTCAATATTTCGTACCGCCTTAATGAAGTGTCTGTTCGGCCTCCTTGCCGAAGTCGCCCAATTGCCTGTAGACTTTGTGATGTAGCATCACGCTACTCCGAGTTCTCTTGACGACATAATGTTTTGCGATCTTCTTGAGGTTGGCTTGCAAAAGAAATTTCTCCTCGGTATCTAGGCTATCCAATATACGGAGGAGCTCCTCGCTCTTCGAAAGGGCGTGTAATGAGCGCTCGGTCGTCATTTCGCCGTCTTGGAGTCAGCGCTGCAAGCTTGGAGCTTCTGAAGCTTCCTGATAATCTGTGAGACCTAAGAAAACTCGGTCTAGCAGGAGAGTATGCTTCTTCAAAGGGACAAAAAAGGAGGTAAGGGCACGGACGATGAGCTGCTCTACGGAGCAGCTCATCGTCCGTGCTTAGTAGTTACGCCTGATCCTTTGTGCTCGGGGTTTCAGCCGGTGCGGCAGTCGCCGGACTCAAACCTGCTTGAGCTGTCTACGGGGAAGACTGGGTAGCCATTGTTAGAATACTCGGGAATGTACGAGTCTAGTTAGATTTATAAGCAAGAGAAGGAGAAGGAAGTTGCGAGGTTATTCACTTACGGCTTAGTAATAGCTTGTAATTCTTGGCGCTAGGGTATATAAGTAGCTAGTGAGTCCTTTGTTCGAATAGCAAGCAATTCTATCGGTTTACCGCTTATCTACAATAGTTATAAGCCCGGAACGCAAGTGAAGAAACAAGAAAGTTCGAGAAATTACCCGATTAGGCAGCCCGCTTGCGCAAGGTTAAACCTTATCCGACGTTACTCCGTAAATCGAAGAAAGCGACCAACTTCGAACAACAATAAGATAACGGTTATTGCTCCGCTATAGACGCCGGTCTATAGGCGAAAAGAACCGATTAATACGAATCAAACGATCTAAAAATATCAACGATACGACCGTTACGAGTCGAGAAATCTAACGATAAAGATGTCTACTACCGAGACGACTATCGGCGCGGTAAAGGGAATTCCGCAACTTACTACCGAGAATTATACTATCTGGATCGATCTAATTCAAGACTATCTATCCGGATAAGGCCTTTGGAGGTATAGGTACGGTATACCGGAATCTATAAGCTAAGATACAGCTAAAGCAAGAGAGGCTAAAGAAGAAGACGCAAAAGCGGTTGCGTTTATTAAGTCTACGGCCGGGGATAAGCGTATACACCTCCTAGGACTACGTACGACTAAGGAGGTAATCGATAAGATAAAGGAAGTAAGCGAGATATCGATAAAGGAACGGGTTTCGACGCTACTCTCCCGTTTCTATTCCTTTAAAGCACTTAAGGATATCGATACTACGGCTTTAGCTCTTACGCAAATCCAATCCGAGATTAAGGCCGCGGATAAAGACGAAGTTCCCTCGGAGGCCTCTAAGAAGGCAGTCCTTATTTCGTCCTTAGGAGAAGAGTATTCGTCTACCGTATTCGCCTTAAAGGCGGCCGGTTTATCTACTCTTTCCTACGAGGAACTAGTTTAGCGACTACGGGACGTTGA